AATAGTTTTTCTGGGGCACGTAATCACAGCACGAGGAATTGAGGTAGACCCAGCTAAAGTGGAAGCAGTGAATAATTGGGTAAGACCAACCAATGTTAGAGAAATACGTAGCTTCTTGGGATTGGCTAGTTACTATAGAAGATTTATCGAGGGATTTTCTAAAATAGCAGGACCATTGACCCAATTGACTCGGAAAGGGATAAAATTTCAATGGATAGAGAAATGTGAACAAAGCTTCCAAGAGCTAAAACGAAGATTAGTCACAGCTCCAGTGTTAACAATACCTGACGGACCAGAAGGATTTGTCATATATAGTGATGCTTCGAAACAGGGCATAGGATGTGTTCTGATGCAAAAAGGGAAGGTGATAGCCTACGCTTCCAGATAATTGAAACAATATGAACAAAACTATCCAACCCATGATCTAGAATTGGCTGCGGTAGTTCATGCCCTCAAGATATGGCGTCATTACTTATATGGAAATAAGTGTGACATTTATACTGATCATAAGAGTTTGAAGCATTTTTTCACCCAAAAGGAATTAAATATGAGACAGAGGAGATGGCTAGAGCTAGTAAAGGATTATGACTGCACTATCCATTACCATCCTGGTAAAGCTAATGTAGTAGCTGATGCTCTTAGCAGAAAGGCAGTGGGACAATTAGCAGTACAAATCTTGCACTATCCATTACCATCCTAGTAAAGCTAATGTAGTAGCTGATGCTCTTAGCAGAAAGGTAGTTGGACAATTAGCAGTACAAATCACTATGCAGGATCAGTTGTTAAAGGATTTCGACAACTTACGTCTAGAAGTAATTGTTCCACCAACCCAAACTAGTGCCAGGATAGCGGCTCTAACGATTCGACCAGCACTTAGAGATCGAATAAGAGTAGCACAGGATGGTGACCCTTTCCTGCAAAAGATCAAATCCGAAGTTGGTACTAGCAAGCGAAAGGATTTTGAATTAGGTAGTGATAAAGCCTTACTCTTTAAAGGAAGGTTGTGTGTGCCGAAAGATGAGGGATTGAGGAAAGAAATTCTTGAAGAAGCACACTTAACTCCATATACTGCCCATCCAGGAGGTACAAAAATGTATCGTGATCTAAGGAGCATGTTTTGGTGGAGAAATATGAAACGGTACATAGGTCTTTTTGTCAGGAGATGCATGACTTGTCAGCAAGTGAAAGCTGAACATCAAAGACCATCTGGATTTTTGGAACCATTAACAATTCCACAATGGAAATGGGAGCATATAACAATGAATTTTGTTATGGGTTTTCCAAAATCAGCTAGGGGAAATGATGCTATGTGGGTTATAGTAGACCGGTTAACAAAGTCAGCTCATTTTCTACCTGTAAGAATGAATTTTAGTATGGATCAATACGTGCGATTATACATCAAAGAGGTTATCCGTTTGCATGGTATCCCAGCCTCAATTGTATCGGATAGAGATCCAAGAGTTATCTTAAAATTTTGGAAAAGTTTGCAAGAAGCTATGGGAACCAAGTTAAACTTTAGCACAGCTTTTCATCCACAAACTGATGGACAATCGAAGAGGACTATACAGACTCTGGAGGATATGTTGTGTGCATGCGTCCTTGATTTAGGGGGTAGTTGGAAAAATTATGTACCACTGGTAGAGTTTGCCTATAATAATAGCTACCAAGCTACGATAAAGATGGCACCTTACAAAGCTCTTTTATGGCAGAAGATGTAGAGCTCCCCTTTATTGGGATGAAGTAGGTGAACGAAGAGTTCTGAGACCCGAAATAATTGAAGAAACTAGTCGAGCTGTTGATAAAATAAGAGCTAGAATCAAGGCAGCCCAGGACCGACAAAAGAGTTATGTCGATAAAAGGAGGAAAGATTTGGCATTTAATGTTGGTGATAAGGTTTTCTTAAAAGTGGCACCGATGAAGGGAGTTCTCCGTTTTGGGAAGAAAGGAAAACTTCGGCCAAGATTCATAGGTCCTTTTGAAATTTTGCAGAAAGTTGGAAATGCAGCTTATCGAATTGCTCTACCATCAGAATTGTCAGCGGTTCATGATGTGTTCCACGTGTCAATGCTTCGACAATATGTGTCAAATCCAAGTCATGTGGTTAGTTATCAACCATTGGATATCAAACAAAACATGACATATGAGGAAAAACCAGTAGCAATATTGGATCGCAGAATCCAGCAGTTAAGGACAAAAGAAATTCCGTTAGTAAGAGTCCAATGGAGGAACCATAATGTCGAAGAATCAACATGGGAAAGAGAAGAGGAAATCAAGACCAAGTATCCAGAACTTTTCAACTAAGCTCAAGGTAATTTCGAGGACGAAATTTTTTTTAAGGGGGAAGGGATGTAATACTCCGAAATTTTATGCTCGTTTAAATTTCTTTGGGATAGCGATTTAACTTTCAATACTATTTTTGGCCATAAGGTAAAAGGGGACACCAACTTTGTAGTGGTTAATGTTAGAGGTAGTTAATGAATGTAGGCATGAAGTGTCAAAGGTTGTATATGTATGAAGTGATTATTAGTTAGTCGAAACTTAAGGCAAGTTTGGATTTCAATGAAGTGGATTATTTGTTAGGACTTCAATTGACCAAATGATTAAATTATGTTACAATCTACAATTTTTGAATATGTAAGTTGGGTATAAGTTTAAATTTGGGGTACACTTTGTTAACAATGAAAGTTAGCGGGTTTAGATTATATTAGTTGAAAAGATGAGAGGTTTCCTTTGTAAATCTAGGTTTGAGGCCACTTATTACCCTATAATCAACGCACTTGGCATTTTTCATCACCATACACTTAGACAATAGGCTAAACATGTGTAGAAACAAGAAAAAAAAATGGAAGGATAAAGTGGTGAGGCGGTGGAGAAGGGAAAGAAAAAAAATATATATATCAAGCCTTATCCTTATCTTTATATATATATAAATACATCCATACCCATTGCCATAGAAAGATTTCCTTCATTTTACAAAACACTTATACACTTAAAAAGAGAGCAAAAACCGAAAATAAGAAAGAAAAGGGAAGGAAGTAAGACTAGCACTTCCAATTTACATCTCAATCGAAGATCTTCAAGTTTTACGGTAAGATACTTTCCATGCTTAAGGGGTATGATTTCATGGTAATATTTATTCTTAAACTATGCATGAAAAATCATAATATGATTATGGTGGACAAGTCCACAAAGTTAGATATCTATTTATGCCTTAAGACAAGTCCGAAGGGCACCGGCAAGCCGGAATGTGCAAGTATGGGTTTGATTGCATTCTTTTGTGTAGTATTATCATGATAAAAAATCCAAGCATGGTATCTTACTGAGTATTTCTTATACTCATAGTTTGTTATGCCAAATTTTCAGATCCATGATCGGTGAATTGATGGAAGTTAGTTGGCTTAAGCGATGATGGATTAAGGACAGATGTTTTGAACCAAAAGTTTTTCTTTTGTATATTTTGCTCGATGACTGTTTTTCCATTTATTTTTTTTATGGTACTATGTAAAAATATGTGCATGACATGGTGTAATATGGTATTAATAGTAAATTTTGTAATTATATCTTTCATGTTATGTTAAGAGACGTTTTTATAGTTTATTTTACTTGCAAGTGATAGAAGGCAGAAACGGGACAGTTTCTGGAGTCATTTTCAAAATGATGTTTCTAACCCTATAAACGTCCATTTGAGACTCTAAAAATATGTCTGTTTTCCTCTTTGAGTTTTCTAAATATTACCGAAGGAATCACTCAATTTGGATATCTATGGCCTGAGTTATCAAGGTTTTAACGTCAAGGGGTCAATCTGGATTTCCTGTGTAATACTTCACTGTTTTCAGTAAAACATCTATATCATATGATCTTGGAAACTTTTCATATTTTAATCTAGAAAACTACTTGAAATTATCTTTCTAATGCCACAAATGTCATAGAAAACGGAGTTGGGACGAATTTTATAAATATTGTCAAACTTGCTACCCCAACTAATTCTGATAATGCCGAGGCCGTATATGTAAAGTATAATTTATTGCCGACATGCACTTTTGTCGGCTATCAAATTTTATAAGAATTATTTTACCGAGTTAAAAATAAGTTCTTAACATGAAATACTTCTATTTAAGAGTATTTACATGTACCAAAGGCAGAATCTATTATGTTTAGTACGTGACCCTCGAAGTTTAAGTTCGGGGCGTCACACATGTACACTATGTTGTACACTTTAGTTTATACTTTGCCACATGATCTTACCCCGTTGGACAGTTTAAATGTCAAAAAATTTTCCCATCAAATTGATACTTGACAACAATGCAAGTGTCAAACAATGTGTCAAAAATTAGTGTACAAATAGCAGTTTTTCCATCCAATTGAAACTTGACAACAATGCAAGTATCAAACAACGTGTCAAAAATCAGCGTATAAATAGCAACGTTCAATTGGTAAGAACCTTGCTACTTGTACACTATGGTGTACACTTTAGTTTACACTTTGTCACGGGACATTACCCTGCTGGACAGTTTAAATTTCAAATAGTTTTCCCATCCAATTGACACTTGACAACAATTCAAGTGTCAAACAACGTGTCCAAAATCAGTGTACAAATAGCAAAGTTGAAGCGGTAAGAACCTTGCTACATGTACACTATATTTTACACTTTAGTTTATACTTTGCCACGTGGCATTATCCCGTTGGACAGTTTAAATTTCAAAATGTTCTTTCATCCAATTGACGCTTGACAACAAAGAAAGTGTCAAACAACGTATGAAAAATTAGTGTACAAATAATAAAGTTCAATCGGTAAGGACCTTGCTACATGTACACTATGGTGTACACTTTAGTTTACACTTTGCCACGTGACATTACCTTATTGGACAGGTTAAATTTCAATATGTTTTCCCATCCAATTGACACCTGACAACAATGCAAGTGTCGAACGTGTCAAAAATTAGTGTACAAATAGCAGTTTTCCCATCCAATTGCGACTTGATAGCCATGCAAGTGTCAAACATCATGTCAAAAATCAGTGTACAAATAGTAAAGTTCAATCGGTAAGAACCTTGCTACATGTACATTATGGTGTACACTTTAGTTTACACTGTGCCACGTAACATTGCCCTGTTGGATTGTTTAAATTTCAAATAGTTTCCCCATCCAATTGACACCTAACAACAATTCAAGTGTCAAACAACATGTCCAAAATCAGTGTACAATTAGCAAAGTTTGAGCTGAAGAACCTTGCTACATGTATGTTATGGTGTACACTTTAGTTTACACTTTGCCACGTGACATTACCCTGTTGCACAGTTTAAATTTCAAACAGTTTTCCCATCCAATTGACACCTGACAACAATTCAAGTCTCAAACAATGTGTCCAAAATCAGTGTACAAATAACAAAGTTCAATCGGTAAGAACCTTGCTACAAGTAAACTATGGTGTACACTTTAGTTTACACTTTGCCACACGACATTACCCTGCTGGATAATCAAAATTTCAAATAGTTTTCCCATCCAATTGATACTCAACAACAATGCAAGTGTCAAACAACATGTCAAAATCAGTGTAGAAGTAGCAACGTTCAATCAGTAAGGACCTTGCTACATGTACATTATGGTTTACACTTTAGTTTACACTTTGCTATGTGACATTACCCTGTTGGACAGTTTAAATTTCACAAGGTTTTACAATCCAATTGACACTTGACAACAAAGAAAGTTTAAAGTTCAAGCGGTAAGAACCTTGCTACATGTACACTGTGGTGTACACTATAGTTTACACTTTGCCACATGGTGTTACCCTGTTGGATAGTTTAAATTTCAAAAAGTTTTCTCATCAAATTGACGCTTGACTACAAAGAAAGTGTCAAACAACGTGTGAAAAATCAGTGTACAAATAGCAAAGTCCAATTGGTAAGGGCCTTGCTAAATGTACACTATGGTGTACACTTTAGTTTATACTTTGCCACATGACATTACCCTGTTAGGCAGATTAAATTCTGATCAGTTTTTCCATCCAAATTACACTTGACAACAATGCAAGTGTCGAACAACGTGTCAAAAATTATTGTACAAGTAGCAATTTTCCCATCCAATTGAGACTTGACAACAATGCAAGTGTCAAAAACGTGTTAAAAATCAGCGTACAATTAGCAATTTCAATCGGTAAGAACCTTTCCACAAATACACTACGGTGTATACTTTAGTTTACACTTTGCCACGTGACATTAATCTGCTTGAAAGTTTAAATTTCGAACAGTTTAAACTTAGCTTAACCGGTGGTTTAGTAACAATTGTATATGTTTTAGCGGAAGCTTATATCTTCGGATAATAATTTAAACAACAATACTTCAAATACTTTAAACAAAAACACTGAATCATTTTTCAAAACAACAAAATGTAATTTATTTGAAGAAAATGTAGCTTGTTCTGGCATTCTGCATTATTCAAGACTTTAAAGAAATAACATTGTAAAACATTTCATAAAAATAAATCCAAATCACTTATTCACCGGATTTCCATGGGCTCGCTGCATCACTCTCCATCTTCTCCTCCATCCATGCCCAAGGTAGAATTCCTTCAATTTGTAGAGATGAGATTAAACCCGTGAGTTGAAAACCTCAATAGGTGTCATAGGTTCATTAATGATCAAGCTATACATTTCAAAACATTAACTTTATAACTTTTCATACATGTCGTACCCGAAGGAACCATTTGACATGAAGGGGTATGCCGTACTCGAGGGCACCATTTGACATACGAACATTTCTTCAACATAGAGGGGTATGCCATACCGGAGTACCATTTGACATACAAACATTAACATGAATCGAAACTTATAACTTAACACGATTAAACACATTGCACCTTTACCTACCTTGATTGATGCTTTTGAGACTTTGAAAACTTGGATTGAAAACATTGATGAAACTTGGACGTTGAAAGAAATGTCTCCTTGGATGTTTGAAAACCGTTGAGAATTGATGCTTGAAAACACTTCTTAAACTTTTAGGAAAAATAGTTTTCCTCCCTCTCTTTTTCTCTCTTGGAAACTCTTTCTTTAGTATGTAAAAGCTCTTGCTTTTGGTGTGAAAAAAAAGAGTGAAATGAGGTCTCTATTTATAGTTAAATATCCCTTAACTTAAAGCAAACGAAGGGTCAAATTTCATTTAAGAGAGAAAACATGGGTGCCATTTAAGTTTGAGGTTAAATGCTTTAATTTAGTGGGGGTTTTATTGCCAAAAATGTGAGTGGTCCTTTGAAAAAATAATTGATGAAAATAAATATTTAAATTCTAGAGA